TTGTATTAACATGTTGCATAAATCTACAATATATGCTTTCTATGTGTCCTGGCTGGATGATTTACACCACGAGCGACTCAACAGTTTGTTACCTGTTTGAAATTACTGGTGAGTTTGGTCATGATACCGTACATCACATTGCTTGACAGACACAAATTGATGTGGAATGATTACGTAACAATGATAATCCACCTTTGTTGTTTGAAAGCAGCTGCCACGCCGTAAAAGGGTTGATTTGATCAATAGTTATAGTAACATGTAAGAGTATTAGTCAGTAATATACTATTAATTTATCGTTAGGGTATAATACAACGGTTGTCATACTGTATATCTGATCTTAATGATTTATTCCTATACCAAACGTTTTTGAATGTTTTCCCATTCTTGGACATTTCCAAATTTGACGCATTAAAAATGATGTCTGGTGTAATTCCCTATTTTGACTGGTACAGGTTCAATATGTTCCCTTTCAGACGAATAATTGACTTGTCTTTGCGTGTGTTTGTGACGGGTGCAACCTTTCCGCGAACACCTGGTATGGAAAGGGTTTTGTTGCTATTATTCTAAATATGGAGAGAGGTACTTGTACAAGTCATCTTTACTTGAGTTCCTATTGAGACAACGCATTATTAGTTATTATTGTTACAAACAATACATGATGATGTATGTTGGATGAATGTATCTTGATCATGATGAGCACATCTCGTCATAATGTCTAGTGTACATGCGCATATATATGTATACATGTCATGGTTGAAGGTGTGTCATCCCAACAAGTTGTTTAAAGTTACAATAACCTGATCACTCCCTAGGCCTGTTGAACTGCCATGTGTATATCACATCTAATTCATGAAACCAAGATATGTACTCCAATATTAGACTAAATACACAGAAAATGTAAATGAGGCCTCTCAAAACCTGCTACATGTACGTGCAAAAATCACTACACTTAATTAAAACTATGCCATTTATTGCAACATATCATAGACACATTCCACAAAGTAAAGATACTCGCTGGTTATGTTATGGTTTGGCATGTGAATATTGTTCTTTGTCATGTTGTACTGCCTTTAAATCAATAAATTACTATCTGTGAATTTAAATTCTAGAAGAAGTTCGTATCATTCTTTTTTCTGTCGATACGACTAAGGCAACAGGGCCAGATGGTATAGGTAACAAGTTACTTAAATTAACTGCGACTCGTTTAGCAACAATCTTGACTTAATTTATTTACCTTATCCCTTAAAAATATAACTTTTCCGTCAGTTTGGAAACAAGCATCAATAATGCCAATTCATAAAAAAAGACGATGTACATGAATGCTCAAACTGTAAACCCGTAGCACGTACAGGTTGCTTAGCCAATATTTTTCAAAATTGTATTTTCAAACATTAAATGTCTAACTTCTTCAGGGAAAACGAAATAATGGCAAATTTACAATCGGGATTCATGCCTGGTGACAGAACATCATGTTAACGCACGTACCTATATATAATTTTGTTGCTAGGACATTAGACGAAGGGCGTATTTTGCGATGTATGCAAAGCTTTTGAAAGAGTATGGCATAAAGATATCATTCATAAACTCAATACTTGGGGCATCCAAGTTGATCTTCTGAAATGGTTCAAAGGTTATTTAAAAAATAGATTCCGAAAAGTAGTCATTAATGGTTATAGCTCAGATTCAATACTTGAACAAGCTGGGTTTCACCAAGGGTCGGTCCTTTGACCACTGCTCTTTATTGTTCATATAAACCAGTTTTAAAGGCATAGAGAGTAACATACGCAGTCGACACGTCCATAATAGTTATCATTGACGATTAAATCTCTGCAGCAAATTGTATCAAGAACGAGTTGGCAAAAGAATTATACTCGGTTAGAAAATGGCAAGTACATGTAGGATGCACCCCCGATAAGACCAAAATTACTGTGTAACATTCAGTCGGAAAGTCGATTCCGATGTAAGACCAAATTCATACATGGAGGGTACTCTCAATAATGAAGTACAAAGACATAAACATTTAGGAATTACATATATTCATGGAAAATACAATCAACGAAAGTATTTTAAAAAATAGTCCATTGATCAACCGCTTCAGGAGTTTAAAGTACAGACTAACAAAAAATAACGCTTGAGATTATGTACACACCTTTTGTCCTGCCTCTCTTCGACTACTGTTGACATATTTGGGACAATTCTACACGCGAACAATCATTGTTACTCGAGCATTTACATTTGGAAGCATTGAGAACTATTTGTTGTTGAACTTCGTGGTACCCGTCATGCCAAAAATTATTTTAAAAAATTGTTTCAATCTTTAAATTTTAGAAAGAAGACACCGCTTCAATTTGATTACATTTCACAAAATAAAAAAGGGTATTTTACCTGAATATCTTAACGATGTGATTCCAAGTCAAGTCTCTTATTATAGCAATTATAACCTTAGAATGACATCTAACTTACAGGCAATCAAATGTAGACCCCAGACCTATGCCAAATCATTTCTGATACGGATACGAATAACTAAAATAACTGAGAATAAGGTTCTAAATTATACCAAATTGTGCACTATCGCCCCAGGCTCGGCTGCAGCGACGTAAACGCTGATAAGCTCAGGCGTCATGTATCACACATACGAGACTGGGGCAGTGGGGTAGCCACGTGGTTAAAGAGTTTCGGTCGTCAGGTTGAAGGCCAAGTTCGATTCCCCACATGGGTACAATGTGTGAAGCCAACTTCTGGTGTTCGCCGCCGTGTTGTTACTGGAAGCGGCGTTAAATCATACTCACTCACTCAAATACCAGACTGCACTCGCGGGTATCATTTTGAAGATGCAATCCACCTTTTCTTTACCTGTCAAAAATACGACAATATCAGAAATACTATTTATTTTAAATCATTGGTATGACTTCAAAACAATATTGCATGACGATAGTTCGGTCAGAAGTTCTACAAACATAAAACATCCTTCAATCAGTTCACTGCTTCATTGTCAAAAGAAAGTAGATCTAATTGTAGACATATAGAAAGGAAAACGGCATTATTATATTTCACAGACACCACTGACTTCAATATATTGTTTTGATGTAAACTAAGCGGCAAAAGAAAGTATAGGTTGGCAATTTGTAATTTTCCTAAAAACGTCGATAACTAGTGGAAAGTGGTTATTGGGAATATGACTGCCCAGGAACAGGTACCAAAAAACACCTCACCCGAACGCGCCACCTTTGACGGCGCTCGTGCGATGACAAAAAGATGGTGAAACAGGTTTCCCGCCTGTGGCATAAACTGCACGTGCATGTTAGCTGTATAAATGCGTTCGTCTGCAGGGTATAACCACACGTGATGATAGCCCACAAGAGAAATGCCACGACTGTCACAGGAGCAGAGAGAGAGAGCCATCGGTATGGCCGAAATGGGGGCAACACAGGTCCAAATTGCCAGAAGGTTTGGTCGTACACCATTGACAGTAGCCAGGCTGATTCAACGGTACAGGCAGACAGGGAGGACACAGGACATGCCTAGAATCGGACGACCCCGAGTGACAACACCACTGGAAGACGGTCAGATACGGTTCATTCACCTGCGAAACAGATTCGTAACGGCGACGGCGACGGCAGCAACAGCGTTGGGACATCCCATTAGCCAACGTACAGTACTACGACGACTTCGTGCTGCTGGAATCCGAGCGTATCGTCCTTTCCGAGGAATGGTACTCAACATCGACGCCTGAGACTGCGATGGGCTAGGCAGGTTCGACGCTGGCAAGTGAGAAATTGGCGTCGAATGCTGTTTACTGATGAAAGTCGGTTTAACTTGTTTCGAAATGACGGCGGAGCACGAGCTATCGACGCAGAGGGGAACATTTGGCTCCGGCGTGTATTCGAGAGGTCCATCCTTTTTGGCGGAGGAGGTGTCATGGTGTGGGGCGGTATTTGTGGTGATCAGAAGACTGATTTAGTGATTATACAGGGAAACCTGAACGCTGTGCAGTACAGAGGTCAAGTGTTGCAGCCAGTTGTGCTTCCGTTCTTACAAAACCAACAGCAGGGGACATTGTTTCAACACGACAATGCAAGGCCCCATACTGCAAGACTGACTCGGAACTTTCTAAACCAGCAGAACGTTGACGCTTTGCCCTGGCCTGCCCACTCACCCGATATGAATCCTATTTAACATCTGTGGGACCATCTTGACAGACAGATCAGAGCACGCCATCAGCCTCCCGTCAACAGACAAGAATTGCAGCAGGCCCTGAGAGACGAGTGGCAACGGATTCCAGTCCACGTCATCAGAAGACTGACGTCATCGATGAGGCGGCGTATCACAGCATGCATTGAGGCAGCTGAAGGTCATACACGCTATTGAAGGCTACTGTGTCGACAATGAACTTGTAGTGTGTCTGACAATTTTTTGTGACATTTCAGACAACTTTTGAAAATGAAATTTCTTACCCCACCATTGTTTACCTTGAGCTTACATTACCTGTGATTGCACAATTTCATTCAAACTGTGGTTGATCAATCATTTGTTACCCCTCCTTAGATTATATTATAATTCACAACAAAACTTCTTCTTGTTATTTTTATCGATCATGGAACTTGACCTATACTTTCTTTTGCCGCCCAGTTTATTTCATTTGTGCACTTTGTACATATGTTTGGCGCTATCTTGTGTATACCAAGCTGTTAGGTACCTGATAGGTATTTATATAAGCAAGTTTCAGATTTCTTTTAAAATAAAAATATGTTTAAACCAAATGAGTGCGAACTGTAGGCGAACTGTACCAGAAACTAACTACATTGCAGGTGAATTGCACTGGAGGCAAGTGCATCCTTTCCTACACGGTGCTCCACATAAAATGCCTACATGCAAAATATTCAATGTTTTTAGGGACACGTCAATTCATAAACCAGGTATACGTTTATGGAAATTAAGGCGTTAATGGGAGGCGTTAAAACGTTATCTAGTTGTACAAATTCATCCTTATCTCCCAACAGGCAGGTTTAGTCACATAGCCCAAGGAGCTAGCCCCGTCAAGATGTGGACCAGTGTCTGGCTATGTGTATTTGGTGTCCCCTTTATAGTGAGTTGTACATAACAATGTACTATATTATATTACAACATTGGATGTTGTAATATTGCAATATCGTATTGAAAGATCATATGTGCTGATTTAGCAATCGATATCATAATATTTACATGTGTATATGGTTAGAATACATAAATTTCGGTTAAACCGTCAACTACAGTGATTCGTATTTGTTTCATATCCAGGTTGGGGCTCCAGCAAATTTGGATATCGGTAAGTTCCCAAGTAGTAAAGCGGGGAAAAAGAAGGAATTGTCTATAAAAGTATACCAATTGCATGTTCTATAGCTTAAATTAATTAGATGTTTTGTTATTGACTCATTAAATTTAAATTTAGCTAAAATGTCGGCAAACTAATTTACTATGGTTTGTTAATGAGTTTTACTGATATCGCATTTGCTGTATTACGCGCCCAATAAGCATTCCTGACCAAATTCCAGAGTGACCAATTTGTGAGTGCAATCATTATAGGCGCTAACTACGTATTTGCGTAGGTATATGGCCGGACATTTGCGCTAAATTGTTTTTTAAAATGTATTTTTTATTTTAAAAATGTGTGACATCAATGAACTATTTTTCTTTCTGTATATTTCAATTTTATGCTGCAGAATCGTAGCAGAGTAGGGGAATGTAAACGTAAATACCGATTAACTATTATCAAACAAGTCTTAGTTTTATCAAAGTTTGAACGAGGTTTTTCACTCACAAGTTTCTAAAGTACAACATATGAAATATAAAGTTTAAATTCCAGCAATGCTCTGTATGAGTGATCCAAAGTCTTTTGTTCTGATTACTTTCTTTCTCTTTCCAGATGAGCCAAACCATTTCAATGTTGAAAGTGTGGCTGGTAAATATTTAGCGTATACTTTCAGCAAGACATACATGTACATTCGTTTCCATGGTGTTAAAATGATGTCACAGCAAATTACAATCGCCTTTGTAGTAATTAATATAAAATAATATAAAAGCTAAAAATAAGTATTAACTATGAATATATGTCGTGCAATATATTGTACAAATGTGTCAACATAGAATAGAATATAGCATGTGTTTTGATTGTAGGACTCTTTGAGGGTGACATTGATCTTGATGGAAATAATCCTTTCGTAAGTGTATTCTTTTGTGTCTTTTCTCAGCATATCCATATATATATGGTGAAAGCCGCACTCAGCAATTTTCCAGCTATATGACGGCGGTCTGTAAATAATGGAGTCTGGACCAGACAATCCAGAGATTGACATCATGGGCATCGATCCATGCAATTGGGATACGATGACATGCATCTACCAAATCATTGAGTCATGACAACCCGATCCCGTTATTCGCCTCTCACGACAAGAACAGCTGCCTTTTACGGCAAGGATGGCTTGTTGGAAGACCTATTCTAACCCGATTCTTCACGGGTCTAACGGTGGGGCATACGTGGATTTCATTCCAATCCGTGGATTCGAACCATAGCGAACAAAGGCTTAACCACTAAGCTATCCTGCCTACTTTTTGATGTAGAATAAATGAATATATATGTGTATATGGATGTTCAATGCACAACCCTAATTGAATGTGATTTTTAATGCAACCACAATGTATGAGTGAACATGATGTGGACATTTCTTTCATTTTCAGGACAGGAACGGAGTAAAAGATCTCAGCGAAACTTGGCCGCATGGAGTAATACCTTATACCATTTCCAGTCATTACAGTAGGTTAATGAAATTATATATCACTAGTCATAATGTTTACCAACAGGCAAAGGTTATTGTGACATGTTTTGCTTTAACTGACCTTGAATAAATTATTATAGATGTGAAATAGAATGATAGAACTAAACCAAAAACGGCATACATTGGCCATTGAGCATGGAGGCTAGTTCATACAGGAGAATGGATATATAATACGCGAAACTGTGTATGAATTCACGTATGTAATGCTTACATTAACTCTCGATATTACAAAGATAGTAAAACATTAGTCTGCAGCTGTATGTGAATGCTTTACAACGATGCCACGCATAAATGTGACCTCTGAGGCGTGAGAGACTCGTGAAGATCCGGGGTAGAATAGATCCTCAGCAACCTATGCTTGCCGTAAAAGACGACTTTGTTTGTTGTAAGAGGCGAATAACGGCATCGGGTGGTCAGACTCGCTGACTTGGTTGATGCAGGTCATCGTGTCCCAAATGCGAGGATCGATGCTCATTATGTTAATCACTGGAGTGTCTGGTCCAGACACGATTATATACCGACCGCCGTCATAAAGCTGGAATATTGCTGAGTGCAAAACAACAAATAAACAAAACAAAATAACAATTCTGTGGCGTGAGATAGGTTTGCATGCTTTTCCATGTCCCAGAAGCACACTATGGATACCAGAAACTCAATGTCAAATGCCACTGGGTTTGTTTGGAAATAAGTTCTAACACCGGCGTATTGCACAGAAATGGAACACCACTGGGACGCAATAAGGTGTACTTTAGGTGTTCCAGCCTACCACCTGATGGCTTCCTTTAACGATAGAACACTGTAACGTCTCAAAGTCACAACAGATGGATTCAAACTTACCATCGCCGAAACCACTTTCAGCCAGCCACACTGATAGCCGGGACGACGTCCGACGTCGTCTAAGTAGTATATAAGATGTCGTGTCAGGCAACAAGCGGAGTCGACTGACATTTGAGGTGATGTGAGATGAAATATGGTTTAACGTCGTGTGCATGCACGTGTTTGTGTGGCTGCTTCTACTAGTCCGGCCTAATGCCTATTTTATAGTGCTAGCACACTGAGATACCTTGCCGAAGTTTAACATGATTAACCCACTCATGTATACTGAGCAGACTAGTCCTTGTTTTAGCCCCTTAATGCCGAGCGCCAGGCAAGGTAATAATAAGTACAATCTTTAACGTCTTTTGTTATGACGAAGCGGGGATCAAACCCCGTCTTTCCGCTCTACCTGTGGACCACTGAGGCGGTCCCGACATCTCAGGCTCACGTGGGACAGCCAACAGGTTTTCTTGGTGGCAAGTCGATATAGCTCACTGTCGTCTGATAAGTCCCGTGTCCAGATGTTTCCCCATTCTAGAGGAAAAGAACGCGGGCAAGAAATGTATTATCAACACGACAACACATTGCAGTTACAAAGCAGTAACATCCTCAAGTTGGTTGGTTGGTTGTTGTTTAACGCCGCAATATTCCAGCTATTTGACGGCGGTCTGTGTAAATAATTGAGTCTGGACCAGACAATCCAGTGATTGACAACATGTGCATCGATCCACGCAATTGGGATCGATGACATGCATCAACCAAGTCAGCGAGCCTGACCACCCGATCCCGTTAGTCGCCTTTTACGACAAGCATATGGCAAGCATGGGTTGCTGAAGACCTATTCTACCCCTGATCTTCACGGGTCCAGTAACATCCTCAACAGAATAACGTGTGGAGAGGTTACCTTGGCTGGCAAACCCACCCGACGTAACTCCCACTGAATATGTGTCCGATAAGATCATTATGCCGTTTTTCTCCATCCACCAATAACGCTGCAGGAACTTGTCTTGAAACTCTTTGTATATGGGACTCTGTCCGCCATTTTGTTGACCCCAAGAGGTGAAGATCATACCAGCTACTTACCAAAAACTCTTTGACCTCTCTCATGAACAGTTGAGATGCTGAGAAATCATGTCATATAATCTTTGCCTTTGGATGCACATGTATGCTACATATATTATAAAATCAGTTTGTATGACACACAAATATATACAAAAATACTCAAATCACTAATCATTGAAGCATACAGCACTACTTTAATCACTCATGCATGACCATCCAGATTTTATCGAAAGCTTCAAATCGCCTTTGCTGTTTTCCTCATCGTAACGATGTACATCTTGCATATACGTGAACCTCCCACTGTAGGTGATGCAACCAAAGAGACCATTGTGAATGCTATGAAGGAGATTGAAAATGACACCCGAGTCAATGGAAAACCTTGCATCACCTACGTTCCCCGCACCAACCAACATGACTATGTCGAAGTCGCTTCAGGATCAGGGTTTGTGTTATTGGTATTTTTATCTTAATGAGCGCTTCATTTCAGAAAGACAACATTAGTTCTTTCTTTTAGATTGTCAGTGTGAATAATTACTCCAACAGACTTAACTCTAGCCATTCTGCACTGTTCGATTCGTTTAAATATTCCGGTTGTACGCAGCGGTAAAAACGGAAGAAGTATTTGATAGGCATTAGGAACGTGGAAGAACATCAATACGTGAAACTATTTTAATAGATAGAATTTTTGTTATTGTTTGTAAAGTCAAATCAAGTCAAGTCAAGTTTTTTCCCATAAATCACATGTCATACAAAGAGAATATATATACATATGTACACATATACATACAGTTATGTTAGTAATAATAATAATAGTAATAATAAAAGTATAATAAGATATATACATTGTATGTGTGAGCATATACAGATATATAAATATATACTAGTAGTAGTATTTATACAATTTCATTGATGCATTGATATACTTGGACAAGTTTATAAGGATAGGCCTATATTGTATAGAAATTAGTGATATATATTTTTCAATTGAGGAGTATTCGCAATAATATTTTGTTAGATATCGATTTCTGAGGACATTTAAGTTAGGGCAATATAACATGACATGTAACTCGTCACCTATTTCAAGATTACATAAGGTACAGATTCTATTTCCTCTATATGTACACTGTACCATCGACCAGTTTCTATTCGGATTACCTGACGATTACCTAATCTATATCGCGTTAAACATAATCTTAAGTTTTCAGGCAGTGGTAATAGGTTCAATGATGTGTAACTGCTTGAAAATAGAATAATAAAAACCTTTTGAAGAGAAGGTCATCTCTCGTGTCCAGTGTTGATAATATTGATCCATCACAGCTGTTTTAACTTTATACTTCAACCATGAACTGCTAGTAAACGACTGAGACAGCAAAACATAATTTAACCCCGTGCTCTCCAGTATAGTTTTAATGCAAGTTGGTTGGTTGGTTGGTTTGTTGTTTTACGCCGCACTCAGCAAAATTCCAGCTTTATGACGGCGGTCTGTAAATAATCGAGTCTGGACCAGACAATACAGTGATTGACATCATGAACATCGATCCATGCAATTTGGATACAATGACATGCATCAACCAAGTCATCGAGTCTGACCACCCGATCCCGTTAGTCGCCTTTTACGACAAGCATAGTCGCCATTTACGGCAAGCATGATTTAATACAAGTAAAAGGTGGGAAGTTATAATTACTGATACGTTGATGCATCTTATACATAAGCCCATGTACTACATGCACCAACTTTTTTTGTGATTGTAAAGATTTTACTCCAATATAAAAATCATTCTAGTTATTATGATAATTTCTAGTGGGTATCTTGCCTAGAGTCACCATAAACCATGAAGTTTGGAGTCGACTGTTTGACATCAAGTATACGCTTGCAATATATCAAATGAAATCTTTCAATGATCATAACTGACTTTTCCATGCCCCACACTTCAGAGGCATATAATAATGTTGGTTGAATGATGTGGCCAAACAAATGTAATTGACAGTCGACGGACATTTCCAACTGTCGAATCTTTGTAAAAACGACAAACATTGCTCTGGAGGCTTGCTCGCAAAGGCGCTTTTGTGTCTTACAAAACCGATCATTACAGGTAAAATATATCCCAAAATATATATATAGCTTTTGACAATATCTAGTGCTGCACCCTGTAAAATAAATCTATATTCTTTTTTGGACGAACGATTTAAAAAGATGAGTACTTTTGTTTTGCTTAAATATATCTTAAATTTCCAACGATTGTAATAACCACTAAAAACATTTAATGATGGGCACCACAATACAGCTATTGCATGCTCCAGGCGCCTAAACGATACCCACATCATGGCGAAACCGCAGTATCGGTGGTTCGAGAGGAGAGCTATTAAACTCTTCTGGTCTAATCGAAGGTGAAAGGTATCTGTGAAGGATATGTACTACGTCCAAAATCATAACATTTTCGAACATCACAAAACTAGGTCGTGGGTTAATGAAGATTCCTGAGTCACTCCTGGTATGGTAGAACGTTCCGGAAAAGACTTGAATTCATCGATCATTGGCTTGTCTCGTGTCCAAGTTCAATCCAAGATTACACACAATTTTCCTGTTCATATGAACTACGACTTTTATGATAAGATTGATGTGTCATATTGAAAAATGCAGTGCTATTGCCTCTTGAAATCTAATTTGGAACTTGCTTTGTAACACATTTTGCAAAATTATGTTAGGGAACGTGAGTGATTAGCTTGTGACGCTATTCACATTTTATAGATTTTGTGTACCTATCGTGGAATTCACGTCACACGAAATATATTTTAAAGACATTTCCCATCAATTTAGCGAAACGATAATAATATCTGTTGCTGTATATCCATGCAATATATTTTTTTTTAAATGGGCACACTAAGGTTAGTCAAATGTCGGCCCATGGCACATTTCGATCACTATATACAGAAAGTGGTCCCACATAGTCTTCAGTAAGCACACCTAATGAAGTTAATTGACAACTTATTGATGTGAGCTCCTGTTGATATGACTATGACAGAAAATGGGTGGGCCAGCATTTTAGAAATCAGCACTAAGCCAACCTAACGACGCTGGGCAATATAAACATTTTGTCCCACTTGTTTCGATCACAATATTCAGCACTATTAAAACAAAGAATGTCCAAATCACACTCAACACATTGCAACTATTATAACTTTCTAATATGTGTTGACCACCTACAGCCACCGCTATTCCCAATGGGAAAACTAATATACATTAGGTTTAAATTTCATTGTCAAAATCCAGTTTTAATTTGCCGCAATTTGCCGATGGGAAGATGGAAAGAAAATATATTCAAGCATTTGATTAAGAATGCTTTTTACCTTAGAACCTGACAGTGTGTGGGAGCTAAAAGCATCGTCTTGCATTATTGCTTACGCTGGAGTGCTTTGCAATACTTAAAATAAACAGCACATACACTTATGACCGGTTTGAAATTACATTGTGCTGCGTCTTTAATTGAAAGAAGTGGCCGTTAGTGACGTCACTAATTTGTCTATCACAGTGTATGAAGATACCAAAATCACTTTTCATGATTTATATGAAAGTGGTTAACGTATTTCATTCGTAATTGGTTCTTGTTGGTTGAAAAAGAACCGAACATTTTGAGGATCAGTGTTCGCATCCGTTAAGAGGAACATATACCGATTAATAATTGAGATAATTTTAAAACAATAAGAAATAACTTTTTAAACAATTACAAAGAGTTATATAATGAAGAATCACGAAAGCAGTAAGTATCATGTGTTGGGAGAAATGTCGCCCTGTCGACAAGATCCCATGAACCTGGGAACAGTTTCAAGACTGACTCTGATAATGATCATGACTGCTCTGATGGTCTTTACCAAACCTCTTTTTAAACCTCTTGGTTCTGCATCGAGCTTTCCTTCAAAATGAAATGCTGTTCAAAGCGGCGTTAAATCCACCTCACTAAGTGGGATAATATCTGTCAATATTCTACGTTTGCAGATGCCATTCACATATTGGACGTGCAGGTGGGAAGCAGATTGTAACAATCAGTAACGGATGCTACAGGAAGGGAACAATCATGCACGAGTTCATCCATGCACTGGGTTTCTGGCATGAGCAGTCAGAGACGACCCGGGACCAGTACATCACCATCGTGTGGAATAACATAGAGTCGGGTTTGTCATTATTTATTTATTTATTGGTTTGCTTAATGTTTAATTTAACAACACACTCGGCAATATTCCAGTTACACACTACCGGGAAAAAAGTCCTAGGCATCACTGACAATCATGGGAAATAATTCAGTCGTTTCTATGTCTGTTTCACAATGGCTACATGTATTATTCCCTACATATCCGATTTTGAATAATCTGCTATCAGTAGGTGGGGCGTGATGTAGAATTTTGAATTGAAACCATTGGAGCCTAGTTTACACAGTGCACCCGAAGGGTTGCTGTTATAGTTTGATTTGTCCAGTCCTCTAACGATATTACTCCTTCTAAAATATGTTTTCCATTTTATGGATTTTTTTACACAAAGTTTCTTTACGAGACATTTGTGAAGATATTGAATGCCTTTATAATATTTCTGTATGCGGTGCATATTACTTAAGAGGATGTAATGGGATTTAAGAGGGGCCTCAGATTCGTCCTGTTGATACTTTTTTCTACAGAATTGTTTGATGGAGGTTATGAAGTGAAGTTTCATGCAGTGACGAATTTCTTACTTATGCAATTTACGCATGCAATGATCGGTATGCTTTGTTTGTTTGTTTGTTGTTTAACGCCGCACTCAGCAATATTCCAGCTATATAACGGGATCGGGTGGTCAGGCTCGCTGACTTGGTTGATGTATGGCATCGATTCAATTGCGTGGATCGATGCTCATGATATCAGTCACTGGATTTTCTGGTCCAGACTCGATTATTTATAGACCGCCGTCATATAGCTGGAATATTGCTGAGTGCGGCGTTAAACAACAAACCAACCAATCGTTGGTTGCTGAGGATCTATATTCTAACCCGAAATCCTCACGAAAGCTATTCGTGTTTAACCCTCACGTAATATATATCAATAAGTATTGTTATGTTATTATATCTCACCGTAACTAATGAATAGTTTGTATTAATTTCACGCAAACAAACTTAAGATAAAGATATCCATGAATGTTGAATAAATTGTAACCCATGTAACATAGCACATGCATTTTCAACACTGTTATATCAATATCCATGCCTGATAAAAAAAATTGTAAAAAGAATTGTAGTACAATTACCAATATGTGTCTTATCTATTTTTTTTCAGGAAAAGAACATAATTTCAAAGCCCATCCTAGTTCTGAATTGGACTCTTTCGGTGTTCCATACGACTATGATTCGATCATGCATTACAACGCATACGAGTTCTCTAAGGACGACAACAAACCAACCATCATTACGAAGCAGCCAGGTGTTTTCATTGGTCAGAGAATCCGTCTCAGCACGCTTGACATCAAGAAGATCCAGATCCTCTACGGTTGCATACCGAGGGGCAGTTCATGTATGTGTAAAACAGTACTTAAGTTAAATGCGTGTATGGCAGTCACATCTATCATTGAGGGTAACTTTTGAAACCCTGGATCCATTTGCCGACATAGCTTTATTTGGGGAGTGAGTCACGTTCTTGAACTCTCTCTCTCATAACTGACTCAGAACAGAATTTCTCTTACTCCAGGGAGTACTTTGATTGAATGGCTATGTGTAGCCCAAAACGAATCCCTGGTAGCAAATTCATCATGATAATAATTTGCAATAATTTATAAGTAACAATGGATGTATTAACATAACCTGGTAAATCGAGGAAATTATCCATTGCATTTTGAAGTCAAGCATGATACCTTCACAGTCATACATGATACCCTGCCTTCGCTATTTTACATAGTTGTTCACCTCTTTCCTTTTCCAGATATGCCACCAACTGTCGGCACTCCAAGTTAGTCTGGTTTATTCCTTTCACTATGGTGTTGGTTTGGTTTGGTTTGGTTTGGTTTGTTGTTTAACGCCGCACTCAGCAATATTCCAGCTATATGACGGCGGTCTGTAAAATAATCGAGTCTCAACCAGACAATCCAGTGATTTATATCACGAGCATCGATCCATGCAATTGGAATCGATGACATGCATCAACCAAGTCAGCGAGCCTGACCACCCGATCCCGTTAGTCGCCTTTTACGACAAGCATAGTCACCTTTTACGGCAAGCATCGGTTGCTGAAGACCTATTCTACCCCGGAATCTTCACGGGTCTCATGGTTAATGAGATGTATTTCTGTCCTGCAGAGGTTTACAGCGATTCGTGTACATTCCAATCGGGCATGTGTGACTGGCAGAATCTTGGCAGTGACCGCACGAACTGGGTACGAAGGAAGGGCAGAACTCCAAGTGGAAGAACTGGACCAAACTATGACCACAGCCTCAGTTATGAAGGTGAAGTCAGAGACCATCTGTTACAACATTCACACAGAAGTATCTTATTGTGATGCAAAATACTAATTAATCAATCATTTTAAACAATAGGAATAAGGAACAAGAGCTCCAACATCCGACATTCAGTGTATGATTATGAAACATTCATACTTTATCACAGTTTTGAGGGGCACTTGGCGAGGAGACAAATTAAAGCATTGGCACATCAAATATCAAGGTTCATCTCACGTGGGTGCAATAAATGAGACGTATCCTTGTTTGTCACAAGTATCAAAGCGGCGTAAAATTATACTCACTTTTACTAATTTTATTACTATTCGTACATAATTAACGCCCATCAAACGTATATAAGATGCCAACACCAGAGAATGCGTGGGTAGAATGCGTTGAAGGGAAAATTAGCGGTGAATTTGTATGAACGGATCACTGAAAATCAAACTGTATGATGACACCAGGGCCAACTTGCACAAATCGATCTTACCGCTAAGATGATCTTAACTCCCATACTTTAACATAGGCTAACAATAGTCGTAGCGCTAAGAACGTTTTGTGCAAGTGGTCCCTGGTGTTCACGAAAAGGGGTTAGCCTACGTGTCCGAAGTCCAGTGTTTTGTCTCTCGGGCGTGTCAGAAACCTATAATCCTGAGTTTGAGAAACATGTTCTCCCTGATTATGCTTCTTGGTTTGTCATCGCCAAACCAGTGCTCGTGGGTTTCCCCCAGGAACAACCCAAGGATCGGCATCATTTCGGGCTTCCTCCCACATTAATCTGACATGTCGTGATTAAAATACTGTGCAAAGTGGCGTTAACCTCACTCATCCCTACAAGTTGTACCTGCAATCACTACGTCTACATCCAGGTTACTACATCTACATGGAAGCCTCGCATCATAGTCACTACACAGCCGTCATGGCTTCCAAGCAGTATCCGGCAGGGACGTACTGTGTGACCTTCTACTACCATATGTATGGCCCCGAAGAGGGCAAAGTGTACCTGAGAGTTGCCCGTGGTACACATGTACAGAACATCCATACAATCAGCGGAGACCACGGCGACCTCTGGAAGAAGGCGGAAGTCCCATACACCTCTCATGACTCATTCCAGGTAATACATAGAAGCTTAACACGTCGTGTTTGGAAGTAGAGTTAAGATAAATCTTTTACATAATTTCGCAAAATTATATGTGTGTATTGGTGTAAAAGACGCAATCTGAACAGTTGAAAAACGTTCACAGCTTATTTAGCGGTATTCAAAGCAAGGGAATCGTCCAGACTTTTCACTGCGTATAAATACTTTGATTTACATGTGACCTTCCGCCTCGTGCTCTACAGGCCATTAAAACACATCTGTGACGTCATTCTATTGTTTGACCGCTCCATTATTTTTCAGGAATGGAGAGTTGCTTGTCAACTGTACATTATCTTGAAGCAGCATTTGAATTTTTCAAATATTTTCAACTACAGAATATTTTGTCAAAGTGTAAAAGTAGGGATGAGTTTTAAGTAGGGGAATATCCTCGTAACTCTCCATTCCTTAGAAATAATGGGCCTCGGCCCCTGCGGGGCCTCTGCTCCATTATTTTTAAGGAATGGAGAGTTACTCGGACATTCCCCTCTACATTCAGCCCGTAAAATCCAGTACACTCCGCTAGTGACGCATGTAACTTGCTTGTTTTGAGATGCATTTTCAGTAAAATATGTTTGTGTGAGCGCCAGTGGGCTCGGTATGGTAACTCAAAATGTTAACAGGGTCAATTATGACGTGCCAAGCAGATGACGTCATATTAAACACTATGACGTCACCTTGTCTGTACAGGCCGTTCGGTCGACTTTTATGGGTTTTACAAGACGGCGGCCAGCCAATCCCATTCCTGGATTTGTTTCAAGTTTCATTAAAGAAAGCATGACGGCATGAATATCGCATCAAGAAAACTCGATTTAGTACAGTAACTACTCACCTGGCGAGTTCAGTTGTCATGGGAACATAAGACGCAATGTATTTCATATGATATCATAACATACGCAACTCTGAATAATGCATAATATTTATAAATATTATTAATTGTGTTTACATGTATTCCCTAAAGAATTTTACCCGACGCCAATAGAAAAGTTCAAAACAATTATTTGCGTTTTCTTTTTCTTTACCAGTTTCAGTTTGAGGGCATCATTGGCTCAGGGTCCAAGAGTGACATTGCTTTGGATGACATAGCAGTTCACACTGGTGCTTGTCCAAGCGGGGGTGGCATCATTGGTTGAACAGACTGTATCGCCTTGTGTAATTGATGAATCGAAGTTTACAATAAAAATATGATCTGATTTAACATTTATGTTTTATTTGTATTGTGACTGGCTTTATTTGCGTCAGTAACTAAAGAAACACAGCTGTAGTTTTCTCTTTCGCGAGATCGTTGTTTTTATTTCTACGATCTTTCCAAACTGTACATGTTGTTAAGTTATTTCACTGCAATTAATCACCTTAATAGATTTTACGCTCGTAAACGCGCATTTCTTCGAGGTAAACTCACTGTCCAATTCTCTGAAAGGGAATGTGAAAATAAAATACACATGTAGTTTTAAACGGAATTGAACGAATATTTTTTGTTAGCACTGCACATTCTACCCCGCTTCATGTTTTTTTTCAACAAACTTGAAATGGTAGTGAACTTATTCATCTCTTTCCATGCAGTCTGGTGAAGTTAAGTTTGGTCAGGTAAAGTAGAGGTAAAGCCATTTTTGTGGTAGCTTGAATGATTTATATTGTTACCTGACAACCTGTAGTGTTGTTTTGTGTAGTTACAATTATTGATACAGTATTACAACCATGGTGAACTAAGAAAACTACATGGCCCATTAAGAAGATTCCACTCAAGTAGCTTTTAATGGACATGCATATTTCATGTTGCCAAACGAGGTTTCATCCACTGAGTATACGTCAGGAAGTACCGTGTGAACAAAATTCCACGCAAAATAATCGTGACCGGCCATAAATCTACGTCAGGATAATTACAGAAATGTAGTTTTACAGAACCCGTGAAGATTCCAGGGTAGAATAGGTCTTCAGCAACCCATACTTGCCGTAAAAGGCGACTATGCTTGTCGTAAAAGGCGACTAACGGGATCGGGCGGTCAGGCTTGCTGACTTGGTTGATACATGTCATCGATCCCAATTGCGTAAATCGATGCTCATGATGTAAATCACTGGATTGTCTGGTCCAGACTCGATTATTTTACAGACCGCCGTCATATAGCTGGAATATTGCTGAGTGCGGCGTTAAACAACAAACAAACAAACAAAAGAAAAACAGTACATTTAATAGTACTTTAGAATTATGCGTGATCAAATAATACTGTCCTTGTTCGTAATGCTTCATGTCGGCTCTGTTGTCTCGTAGATAGAGCGTGTGTCCGGAGAGCGGTCGGTTGCCATCGGTGGTTCGTTCCCCTACCGCATCATACAAAACCATAACGTGAAAACTATGGTACTTGTTCTTACCCTGCCTAGCGCTCGGCATTAGGTGGATAAAATAACGACTGGACGGCTCGGTGTCTGTATACCTATCTGAGTGGGGTGTGCGGCATAGTATCTCAGTGGGCTAGCACAATAAAATCGCATATCAGACAACACACATTCACACACGCACACGCACACGCACACGCACACGCACACAAACTGGACGCGATTATCAATTCATGTGGAATAACTTTAAACATAGGGGTGCCTCAAGGGAAATTACGATATATTCATTACAGTAAAACATATTGTAAAGCCATCGTTTTCAAGTGAAACAAAACGAAAAAAGACCGAATTATATATTGCACGCCAAACACCAGTGATTGTATGTCATAGTGGATGCAATTGCCATATAGCAATTTATTTTAGAATATTAGATAGAAAATTACTTGAAAACACTTTTTTCTGTTAACCTAAAGTTTATTACGCATGATGCCTTATACAGATATTTATAGACCAGAAATTTAGAGCAAAATATGTAGGAACCCAAAACAAATTGCAACAGAAACAAATTGTTTTGCTTCAAACTCAAAAATACCTGAGTATTCACATACTAAAAGTCTTTAGAAATCTTTTATTTATTATTATTTTTTATGAAAATTAAGGATAATTATGGACATATCAATATTTAAAAGTAAATAATGAACTGCTTCCTTATTTTTTTAAAGAAGAATAATCACAGGAAACTGTGTCGGAGATTTTACCTTCATGAAAAACAATATATATTTCAGAAACAACCTGTCCATCCAAAAGCTTGTTTTCTGAGAGTTATCTACTTTAAAACAATAACTGATAGAACATCACTTGAAACACTTTGTTAACATCAGTTGTTTAAGGCAAGCATTAAAACCGAGACTGAACATGACCGCCATACCATGGAGCACAGTTCTCATCTTGAAATGTGCCAATAAACAAGACCAGATGAAAATATATCCTGCAAGAATTTAAAATATGAATATTAGTTAAAATGAAACGGTTTTAATTATTGTTTGCCCTTAAACTTATTTTTAATTATTGTTTGCCCTTAAACTTAAGTGGGTGTCATTTATGATGGATGAAGCACAAAATAATGCAGCAACTAAAACGTAGTTTCAATGAATAACTTCCTAGCTTATAGGAAACACATGTTGTTTAATAAGACTCAGAAAGGTATGCGATTAAGATGGTTTAAGCTGGTAAAGTGATTACATACTTGTATCGTAGGCAAGGTAATGAGATCTTTGGAAGCCCTTGTCAGAACTCGGTGTCACTGGTGAAGAATCCTCCCAAGAGGATGAAGTACTGACGTGTTGTTGTGAGATAGTTAACTTACTCAAGATTTCCTAATTGAGTTGAAAGTGGAGTTGTTGCTTACCACTTCAGAAATATGTCTCCCCTCGTTCAATGTTTTTTCAACGAAACTTGGCATGTGCATTACTCGTCAGATGAACTGGTGCCTTTAGCTATTTGAAATCCTTCTAAATTATATTTTGTTACGTTTCCATGTAAACAGACCCGTGAAGATTCCGGGATAGAATAGGTCTTCAGCAACCCATGCTTGCCGTAGAAGGTGACTATGCTTGTTGACTTGGTTGAAGTATGTCATCGATCCCAATTGATTGGATCGATGCTCATGATATAAGTCACTGGATTGTCTGGTCCAGACTCGATTATTTACAAACCGCCGTCATATAGCTGGAATATTGCTGAGTGCGGCGTTAAACAACAAACCAAACCAAACCAAACCAAACCAAATCCATGTGAACAATTTGATCTCAAATATCTCAAGCCATAACTCTCAAACTAATGGATATGGTTGTATGAAACTATATATGTGCAATGACGACATGCTCATCTAGTGCCTTTTCTCATTTTTTTATTGCGTTTCCATGGAAACAATTTGGACTTAGTCTCAAACAAGAAGCATTCTATCCCGCCACATCTCTACAGCTAATGAATATTTGTGCATGAAACCATTTTCTTTTCCAGTCTATAATTTGCTACTATTGTTTTGTTTTATTTGCAAACACTTTTACAGTAACACCTTGAACTAATGTATCAAAAGGGAGGGTAGACGTATGTTTTTGAGTAAAAACACATCGTGGTATGCTTCTGATTTCATATTCCTAAATTTCATTCCAAAGAACATATTCAGAGAGTCAAAACAGATGTTAAATTTGCCACACCGGTTGCTAAGTGGTCATAACACGAGGCTTTTGGGTTTGCCAGCCTGGTGTGGAATAAATGACTGTGTTTAAGCTAGTTCTCTCTGCTGACGACCGAATACACATATCCAGACAACATCTGACATTCGCATTACCTCTCATTGCTAGAGAATATTGCTTGTTCCGAATAGGAATTGTTTTATTGAATATTAAGTACACTTTGCAGAGTCTGAAGGAACGGGACAACTGTATGGTTAAGATCAACCTCGCGATTGTTATTCTTCTGGATCGCATTAGATCATGAGTGTATGCCTGGTTTAACATGCTTTGTAGTAATTCTTTCATTATGAAAGGATATACCAGAGGGAAATTAAATTCCAACCAGCTAAATAATCAATGTTATTATATTATGCGTTATGCAGCTTGCGTGCCGTGTAACGTGACACGCTACGGTAATAGTATCTAACAGATACAGATATGGGTGTATAATGAATTACTAGGACAAAGCTTCTTTATGCTTCATGTTTTCCTTTGATGTTTCCAACAGTTTGTTGGTGTTTTTTTAAGCTTTTTACGGTTGGTGATATGATCAAGGACACGATCGGTGGGCTTTGGGATCAAAATAACGAAGTCTATTGTATATCTATTTATAATGTCACATGAGCGTACACGAAAAGAAAATTGTCAACGCCAGAGAATAACCTGTCTCTATTATCCACCGATACAGATTTCATTGGGCGAAAAAAAGAAGAAGAGAGGTGGAAATGAAATGAATGGTTCAGTGAATATACGAAACACGATTTGGGATGAATATCTGATATCCTCGTTTATTTTGGGGGTCAATAAATAGGACACGCTATAACCAGTGTAAACGAAAATAAGGTGTTGTGAAATGGGTTTGTTTTAATGTCGCGTCCAAGATTCTTGCATTTATAAGCGACGTTTATGCAGGTGGGTTTGTGTGTGTGCTAACCCAATGAATAACCCACTTAGACACAGTATACTGACTCTGAGCCGATCAGTCCTTATTTTAGCCGTTTAATGTCGATCGCCAGGCAAGGTAACAACAAGTACCACATTTCCACGTTCCTTGGTATGACGCGGGTGGGGATCGAACCTCCGACCTTCCGCTCTACCACTACGGAGGCGATCTAATGGAAATAAACACACATACACAGATTAAGGTATGCGATCAACATGCATGTGTGGTCGCGCAGTCACTCGTCATGTCTGCAGACAAGGTTTCATTATCATCGTTAGGCGTTTTGTTATTTTCTTCGTTTCGCTAAATATCAATTTCATAATTTTTTGTCTACATGGAAATGTGCAACTAAAGAAATCAACTTGTATATGTTCTAAACTATGGGTATGAACAAACACTGAGAACATACAAGAATGTATTTGGAGTGCTGTCGGGCTGTTGAAAATAGTCGATCCGGTATTTTGAGTAGTAACATGTCCCCCTTTGAACTAAATCACCGATGTGAAGTGAAGTTAAATGAGATAAGTGAAGTGAACTTCTAAAGTAGTTCCGTGTTCAGTTTTTGTATAAGTAGGGTACTTGGTTCAGAACTGTTATGTTGCCGCAGTAGATATTGGCTGTGGATTCCGAATATAATAATCGCAAAACAATGTGGACATTTATCATTTTAAACATTTTG